CCATTGATGGCAGGGTCCCCCGACCCTTTTAAATTGCCCAGGGCTGGGGGATGCGCTGAGGCAGGCACATTGGGAGTAACAGATCAGACTGTGGGAGAGACCCAGCCCCAAACTTTGGTGAAGCTGGGCTTCCGGGCCAGGCATACTTCTGCAGCCCAGACACCCCTCACCACCCCTACACTGTGGCACTAATCACAGACCAGAAGCTCCTTGTGCTAGGTGCTGTACAAATACACCCCAGAAAGGTTGTCCCTTCCCTTGAGGTGCAGACAGTCTAAGTAGAGAGATAACACTATGTGTAGTGGGTACTGAGGATGTTAAGTAACGGTTAATTTAGTAGTCGAGTAGTTGATGGAAATTCGAGGGGCATTGCCATACAGCTGATCTCTGGCTCAGATGTGCGGCTGCTGCTTTGAAATGTTGAGGTGGCATTTCATAGTGGCAGCCCCGCACAGCTGATCCCAGGATCAAAGGGCTGCCCCTTTGAAGTACTCCCTCTCTTCCCTCCCTCTTCCTCCCTCCCCTTGCTGCCTCTATCTGATAAAGTCAGGAATCAGGGGGAATCAACTAGTCGATTGGCTATCCGATAAGCATTTGCTTATTGGATATGTCAAGGCCGATTCCCCACTCTGGCACGATGAATGCAGAAGAGGGGGCCTGCAAAAGTACCCGAAAATCTTATCTTCCCAGGCTTTGGTATAATACCTAGATTTTGGGGATAAAAATCCGTTGCCTCCACCCAAGTAATGGTAAGAAAACCAGGGAAGAAATCATTTGGGAAATCTCAGCCCTGAAGTAAAACCAGGACACACAAATTAACCACTACCAGGTTAATAAAAAAGAAAGAACTTCTGTTATCACCACAATACTCCTGTTACAAGCATAATGACTAGATGGAAAAATCACCAATTAATATACTCATGGGGGATTCCCATGGGTCAAAAACTTAGTTACAAAGGAGAGGAAAACCCATTTTTAAATGCACAGCATCAAATTCCCATTCCCAAACCATAAAACAATAAAACGGATTTATCTAGACTTTGCCCTGCTTACAGATGGTGAAGAGTCTTTTTTTGGAGATGGACATGTCTGTCCCCCTCAGTATCTAGAGCAGGGGTTCCCAACCTTTTTCGGTCCCCGTGCCCTCTTGGCTTTTAGTAAACCTTCCCGTACCCCTTATTCAATATGAAAGGAAATAAATTCTAGACTCTAGAATCCACAACTTTTTTCACTAACACTACTACTTTTGGAATATTTCAATTAGGATAATCTAGTTATTTACCAAATATTCCCCGTATCCCCTTGACAAGCTTCTCGTTCCCCCTGGGGGTACGTGTACCCCAGGTTGGGAACCCCTGATCTAGAGAGTCTGCTGCCCAGGGACAAAAAGGGAAAACCCCCAAAATTCCTTTGTCTCAGTTTGAAATCCCTATCTGCATGTCTATTGGCTGACTGCTATTTGGCTAGGTACAGTTAACCCCTTAGTCCCCAGGCTGACCATCCCTCATGACCATGACAGGATAGTTGACTAGTCCAGTGTTTCTCAACGTGGGCCATATGGCTCCCCAGAGGGCCATGCCTTACTTCTAGGGGGCCACATGGAAAAAAATGGAACATAAGGGGGCTCAGTAAGTTTCTGAGGGGGCCACCCAAACTTAATTGCCAGGCATATGATGAATGAGGCTCAGAAGGGGGCCATGAGCAAAAAAAGGTTGAGAAACACTGGACTAGTCAACTAGTCCTTAACATCCCTTGTGGGTACAGACTTTCATAAAATTAAATACTAGGGCATTGGTGCAACACAAAATATCTTAATAGCCTGGGAGTTTATTTGGGGCATCAAATTTATGCTATATGTAAGATGGAGCAAAGTTTGAAGATGGCACCACATGAAAACTGTGAAGAAACAACATTGGACAAAGGGCCACAGCAGGTTAATATTTTTTCACCTCCTGCGGGTGTAGTGTTAAATAATAATTGGTCACAGGGGAAGCTGATTCAGCTGATATCTTTCACAATGTAGTCACTGCAAAATTCATCATGTTTGTCGGTTTTGTGTCTTGCAATCATGGCTCCATGGAAAAGCATGCATGTTTAGTCTTGTCTTTATATGCATTCTTCCTAGT